AAATCCGCGGATTTCCGCGGATCCGCGAAGGAATCTCATCCCTGTATATAGCAGCTACGTGGAATAAGCGTATCCTCTCAATCTTACACGTTACACATCGGGAGCTCCGCTTTTAGGCAGTGCCTAAATCTGAATATTATAAAAACGTTAAATGGCGATCATTTAGGTGTAACGCCATCACTCGCCCACATCTCAGACTTTCACATCTCAAACATTTATTTTTACATAAAAAATTACACATATAATTATCAAGAGTATATAGTAGGAGTTCTCCCATATAAACTCTTCGTTTCTATAATGTACGTCGATGGTTGCTAAATTAAAACTGACTTCTTCTCACTCACTCATTTGCGTCCTTTTTTTGTGGTGAGCTACAGTGTCATTGACACTTTCATCTTTGTAATTCTCACTATTTTAGACTTCCTTTCTTTTATTGATCGGTGATCCGCGTTCCATTTACCTCTGCCTTTCTTGTTTCTATTTCCTATCATCTTTTTTTGCATTTTCTTCCATTATAGCATTATCTTGTAGTAGTTTCTCTCTTTCTCACATATTGCCATATCTTTTTCCATTCTATCTTCAGGTTCCCCAATCCCCTTTCTTATACTTCCCAATCATATTTTCCTTGCAGTATCGCTGCATCCCACATATTGTCTTCCATCTGCCTTCTGCGAAATGCCACGGGTTGATACAAGTTGCTGTGCTGTTTCAGGTAAAGAGCATGTTTGCAAGTTTCTCGGGTGCGGGCGCAACGAGCGCTTCAACTACGTCGTCATGAGTCTGCAAGCTAAGAACCTGGCAGAGTTACGTCGCAGCCAGCCCCGTGGCACCTTCTCCCTCAATACCACCCTGTGCCTCGGTGCGCAGATGCTGAAGGGTATCGAGTTCATCCACAGCGTTGGCTTCCTGCATCGTGATGTCAAGCCGGTGGGTATCACATTTCGCAAAGCAATCTTGGGTGCCCGCGGTGTGTGTGGGGATGGCATGTGTGCTGCCTGCTGCATTTAGCCGAGTGGGCAATCGCAGGTCAGTCTGCGAAATTGGAATTAATGAAACTGTAGTGCCTGGTGTCCTGTTAACATAAATGTTCTGACATGCCCGTGTGCTATCAGCAATTTTTTTTATTTTAGTCTAACTTCGCCATGGGCAAGCTTCCACATAATTGCAAGACTGTGTACATGCTGGACTTTGGCTTAGCGCGGCAGTACACAACAGCACAAGGAGAAGTGCGGCCCCCTCGTAGTGCAGCTGGATTCAGGGGAACCGTTCGCTACGCATCTGTAAATGCACACAAGAACAAGGTAATCGAAGAAGAAAGAACAGCAACAACAAACTGTTAGCATGCCCTTGTCATACATGCTTCATTCTTGTAATATATATTTACTTTGTAGGTATGACCAATGGATAACTAATCATACTAGGTTAAGAAAGCTCAGAGATGTTTACGTGATTTTAGATTGTGCAGTGCATAGGTGTGGCTACATCTTACCATCTCACCTTCCACAGGAAATGGGTCGTCATGATGACCTCTGGTCACTATTCTACATGCTTGTGGAGTTTGTAGTAGGCCAGCTGCCATGGAGAAAAATCAAAGACAAGGAGCAGGTTGGTATGACTAACTAAAACAATTAATGTACAAGGTTTATGTTATGAAATTTGTACTATATATAAATTAATGTAACACTAATGCATATTTTTATAAAGAGTTTATTGGAGTATATATTTTTAATTTTTACATGACACCAACTATCATATCAGGAGTAGATAATAGGGAAGGAGTGTGACTTCAATAAACAAGGGAAATTCGTCATTTACTAGCCTTAT